GCAATCGGATTTTAAATTGGTCAAAAAATGACAGAGGTAGGGAAAAAAGGTTGAAAAAACGCATTTCGTTTTGTTCGTTGTTAATTCAGATAATTTCTTTAACTACAGTAAACATGAATTGCCTTTAGGGTTCACAATCTGTCGTTCTTTGTCACACTCACATTATGAGAACAAATCTAAATTCCTGGAAGTAAATACATTTTACAATAGTAACTATTCGTTACATTCAGTAGTCCATACAAAATGAACCGAAGAGCACATTTTTCCAATCACCTACATCACACCAGACCGCATCTCACGATTTCTAAATAAATATCGATTAACGGTCACTAATCACCACACATTTCTACACGAGAAGAACGAAGAACATGGGATTCTATGAACAAATTGCAACTACATATGGACACGAAGCTAAAAGTATACTGAAGGACATCGCCAACAATGAGAAGAAACTCGCATCGGCCATCAATCAGAGAACTTTTTTGCTGAAATGCAGACAACACAAGGCCCTGAAGATGATCTCAATAAAGATCGAAACGTTGGCACGATAAAGAAAATGTTTTTCTGAAACCTACATCACATTATCCTCATTACAAATGAAATGGCCACGGAGAGCTTTAGTGAAGTATACTTCATTTAATTCATTAAGTTCACTAATTTCGTAGTCTGCTTGACCAATTAATATATTACAATTAATTAAGGTTTTTAGTCAACATAAAAATTTAAATTTTATATTTTCCCTTTTCTTTTGTTATCGTCCATATTAACTACCATACTTTCTTGTATTAGTAACTGTACCCTTCGAATAAACCGTGAATCATAAATCCCGACAAACCCTACTTCCTTTGAGTCAAAAATACCGCCTACTTTCAAAGACAATTTTCAAGCCATACCACCTTTTCAACAATATCACAATCTTATAAAAATAGCAGGCTACAAATTCACAGGTACAAACAATTTTAACACGTACGCAAAGAAACGAAGAGCTCTAGTGAAGATATATTGGGTTGTCCGGAAAATAATGCAGGATTTTGGTATTAAACAAAAAAAAAGAAACTAGTTACTTTAAAGCAATGTTCTTTAATCAAAATAATTTCCCATACTCTCAATACATTTCTCCCAACGTGTTGGTAACTTATTAATTCCGTCTGAGTAGAATTCAGAATTTTTAGAATTGATAAAGTCAATAAATGCATTTTCCAGTTCCGTTTGATTTTTGAATATTATGTGTTGTAAGTAGTGGTCCAGGTGTCTAAAAAAATGGTAGTCAGTAGGCGAGAGGTCCGGAGAGTAGGGTGGGTGAGGCAAAGTTTCATAGCCAAGCTCCAATAATTTTTGTGACGTTACACGTGACACATGTGGTCGAGCGTTGTCATGCAACAAAATGGGCCCTTTCCGATTGACCAAAGAGGGCTTCATTACTGCCAATTTCTGATGCATGGTATTAATTTGGTTACAGTATGATTCAGCATTGATGGTTTCGCCAGGATTTAAGAAGCTGTAGTGTATTAAACCAAATGAAGCCCACCATACCGTAACCATTACCTTTTTTTGATGAGTTGGGGGCTTTGGAAAATGTATTGGAGCTTCTCCTTTGTCGAGCCACTGTCCAGAACGTCTAGTGTTATCGTAGAGAATCCACTTTTCGTCACATGTAACAATTCTGGCCAGAAATGGGTCATTTTTGTTTCGACAAAGAAGTGATGCACAAACATCAAAGCGCTGATTTTTTGGCGATCGTTTAATGAGTGTGGAACCCAATTTTCGAGTTTTTTCACTTTTCCAATCGCCTTGAGGTGGTCAGCGACGGTCGTTTTACTGACTTTGAGTTGCTCTGCAAGTTCTCGAACAGTTGTTTTGGGGTTTTCTTCCACCACTGATTGCAGAACATCATCATTAAGAGAGGAAGGCCTTCCACGACCTTCTTCATCTTCAAGGCTGAAATCTCCCTCCCGAAATTTTTTAAACCACCTTTGCACAGTGCACTCATTAACACAACCCTCGCCCCAGACTTGGTTAATGTTTCTAGCCGTTTGGGCTCCGCTTCGGCCGAGTTTAAACTCGTAAAAGAAAATCGTACGAAATTCTCGCTTTGACATTATAAGGATGACTGAATTATTTCCAAGTAGCGGAATGCTACAGAGGTAAACAAACAATATCATTTGGAAGAGGATTAATAAGTGTTGACATTCATACAAATGAGTAATCCTGTAAACGTAAACAGAATATTTTATATAGATTTTTTTTAATGAAAACTTAAAATCCTGCATTATTTTCCGGACAACCCGATACTTCATTTTGCTTATTAAATCTATTAGATTTCGTTATCCGATAGACCAAATAATTTCTTTCAATTAATTAATCTTTATGCAAGTATTGGTTGAGATAAAAAGAGATTAATTGATTGAAAGAAGTTATTTAATCAAAAAGGAGGGAAAATTCGAAAGGTGGGTTGAGATGGTTGGTGTCCGAGTGGATCGAAGTCACGATAGCTCAAGTGGTAGAGCAGCAGCGTATTTAGCCGAAGATCGTGGGTTCTAATACTCGTGATACTACATTTTTTATCTCAACCAATACCTTACATAAATATTAATTAATTGAAAGAAGTTATTAATATAAATAACTTAATACATAATTAGTTATTATACTTTTTATCTAAGGTCTTGACTCGTAGCTGCTAGGCAGACCTATGTGTCACTTTTAATTGATGGGAACATATTTTCACAATTCACGAAAAGAGGCATATCTTAGTTCTGTGTCAAACTTTAATGCATCGGTGTATGAAATATTTGTGAATATGTGTTGTACATCTCGTGGTTCTAAATTTGTTGACTACCAACTAGAAGGAAACTGCCATCAATGTAATGAAGTCTATCAGTTTTCAAATTCCACCTCTTTGGCAATTACGTTGGGACAATATGTTATGGATATAGAATCTTCTCGTTTCACTTTGATAACGGCTAAAAAGAAGAAAAGTTTGCCCTCTAATGCTGATAATTCTAGCTCTTCAGACCTCATTGACAAATCTAGGAAGCATGAATGCTCAGCTCCAAGCTTGCAGGTCCAAACGTTACAGAAAATCAAAATCATTATTCGGGAATCGTGAGATGCGGTCTAATGAGACGTAGGTTTCAGAAAAACATTTTCTTTATCGTGCCAACGTTTCGATTTTTATTGAGATCATCTTCAGGGCTCAATAAAGATCGAAACGTTGGCACGATAAAGAAAATGTTTTTCTGAAACCTACATCACACCAGACCGCATCTCACGATTTCTGAATAATTATCGATTAACGGTCACTAATCACCACAGAATTTAACCCTTTTTAGATTGTACTTTTGTACCAACGTGCTGATTTTAGAAATTTGACCAACTTGGATAATTTTCCTGCTACCTTGGAAATTAACTGAAATATTATGCAGTTTTTATATCGATTGTATAAATTGATTTCTAAAATGAAAAATAAATAAAAGCTATTACAAATCAACCACATTACAACAATTTTAACACACTATTCTCAATCAAAAATTCATGTTCGATGAAGAGATTCAACCCCCGAACCACTGGCAGAAAATAGCCATTCGGTCATTGCAGTTCTCGTAATAATTGTTTCATTACTAATAAGCAATAAGTTTTCCTTCGTTGGAAACATTTGCAATGTCACAGGAAAACTAACGTTAAATTGTATCCAATATCACAATAATTGTACAGTAGTTTAACCTAATAGATTAAATTTTTTCGTAATGATATTGATTAGGACTGGATACATAAACTATTAATTGAATCGTGTAAATATGGAAAATAAAATAGTATGCATAGATCAGTCATATGAATTTTTATAAAGTAGACTAAACCCTCAATTGGGAGTGTTGCAGAAGTGTAGGCCTTTCGCGCCGTCAAAAGAATTTAAAAAGTCGTTAAACTAAAGATTCTATCTAGCAGTTTTTCCGGTCATGATGGTCCGCTTGTCATCGATGTCACCAGCAGCCTCTTTCCATCTAAGATTGTTAGTTGAGATGAAAAAGTTAGTGCCACGAGCGGGATTCGAACCCACGACATTCGGCTCAATACTCCGCTCCTCTAACCATTTGAGCTATCTTGACTTCGATCCACTCGGACACTAACCATCCTTCTCAACCTACAACCTTTTGAATTTTCCTCTTTTTGCCATTTTTAAAATGTCGTGTATTCGAGACCCGATTCTCAGGGACTTTTGAACTGTCCCCGGGGAGATGTTAGCGATGTGATTACTTCTTTAATTATTATATTAATCCATATATTTGTTTAGCAATCATAATTGACCTATTTAATTATTTACTATACTTTTTATCTTAAAGTCTTGGTTGAGATGAAAAAAGTTAGTGTCACGAGTAGGATTCGAACCCATGACCTTCGGCTCAATACGCCGCTGCTGTAAACACTTGAGCTGTCGTGTCTTCTACCCACTCGGACACCAACCACTCATCTCAACGTACAACCTTTCAAATTTTCTCTCTTTTTGCCATTTTTCAATTTTCTTCTAATTGACGTATAAAACGGATTACAAATGGGCATACTAAAATTTGTAGAAATAGATAAACATAACACATGCTCATAAACATCCCAATTGACAAGTACACAAACATATCTAACACGAGTTAAAACATTATACAAAGAAAAAAAGACAGAGGTTCAAAATGACCTAATAGAAGACCCACAATCTTCATACATCAAAAACAACATTAATATCTGCACAACTCTACAACTAGAACTTTACTAGATAAAAATCACCCAAACACTGAAGATCGCGAAATGCCGAAACGCGTCTGAACCAAAAAAAATCATGGATACACAGACCAAGATGGTAGGTAGCTATCAAACAATAGTTTTATATTTTCGAAAATATCCAGCCTACTGTGCACCATGAAGGAGCACGAGATATGCTACTGAGACTCTATAACCAATCAATAACATTTTCAAAATGAGCAATACTAACTCCAATGAGGCATATACGGGTTCAATTAAAAATAAAGAGTCATTTAAATTGTTCATTAAATTATTTATTATACACTTATCAATATATCACATTGCACTCTAAATTGCATAATTTGTCAAATGTTAAAGCTCATTCTGGTCCCGGGTAGATGTTTTGTTGTCAAATGTTAAAGCTCATTCTGGTCCCGGGTAGATGTTTTGTTGTCAAAATCTGCTGAAACAATACATTTAAATTTCAATGAACACATAAAATTATATATTTATAAGAAATTTAGTGGACGTAATATAAAACTTTTTATAAAATATTGTAAAGTAATAATGTGACTTACGCTTTTACGCTATGAAGTACTTTCTAAACTCATCATTCCTGAGCTTTGGCTCGGATCTCAACGCGATCGGCGACAATGGGCAAGTGTTTAAGCAATCTAACCCTGTTACACAGAAAACATAGAATAAAATGAAATATAAAAGAAATTATGACTGAGTGTGTTTTTATTTTAGTTAAATTTTTGAATATCTATTCGGAAAAAAGTGCCAAATTGTTACAAATTTATTTAAACGAACAAACTATAAATCATCCATTCAGCAGATTAAAGCAAGTGGTCTTACAACTCGATATTTATCACTTTCGATCCGTGATTATTATCTTGATATTTCAAAACACAAACAAATTAACCCGAATTTCTCATGCCACTACGAACTGGAATCTTACTTTATTTATGTTTTTTTAATAAACAAAAACAAATAAAAGTTTTGACATATATAATTTTTGAATTAACAGAATTTGATAGGAAATAAGTACTATGGTCAGTAATACTACTCAATCTGATAGAACATGAGTTACATAATAAAAAAATGTAAAGAATACATAAAGAAACCTACTCTGAAAAAGATTAGCTTACGAAAATGCTGAGATAATATAATGAAAGAATATAATACTAAAATATATCATAAAATATGACGGTATGATAAAAGCAAACAATATTCAACTTTCAAATGCTAAAAAGCTTTGTAACTTGACTCCCTTTTAAACCGACTACCTATCAGCTTTTAATAAAGTTCTTTAATCAAGAAGAAGTACACAAGTAGTAACTTTTCCAAAAGATGGAAGTGAAGGAAATGGTTAAATTAAGTGTTCTAATAATAAATTTGTAAGGCTTTCTTACGTAAAATTTAGATGTAGTGAATAAAGTTTTTAAATATTAATTTAAAACTTTTTATTTTCAAAAATTGTTGAGTTAGTAAACAATAGATTTAATCAATAATGTACTTACGTTGCTTTCTGTGCGACTTTGGTGTAGAGGCAAAGACTTGTTTGACGAAATCTCTCCTCTTGTATTGACCGATTGCCATCAGGTCCGGGCATCGGAGGAAATGTTCCGTTGGGTCAAAGTTCTTACTCGCTTCGTTCTTCCTCTTCTTCTTACCAGTCTGCCAGGCTTTTTTCGTTCGTCGGACAGCCTGGTCGAGAAGAACTTGCAATATTTTCAGTTCCATTTCGGGCGGTGGACGGATGCGAAATGATTGTTGAGAGTCGGTGTACAACAGTTAAGGGTTTTTATTTGGTAAGGGTGGGGGTGAATTAGGACCGGATTGAATCGGCTACCTGTGTACAGCGGGGTCGGTCTTCCCATGGTAGTACCTTTCTAACCCCTTTAATCCTCTCTCAATTTACCTGACAAGATGTCCGAAATGGCACAATAAGTTAATTCTATGAATCCGATATTTTTACTTCTCAACATTTTCCGTTTCCCTCTTTTATTAACACAAAAAATTCGATTTTGTATAATTAATAATATTTAAGTTAAATAATAATAACTAAAATATGTGGTGATTAGTGACTGTTAGTCGATGATTATTCAGAAATCGTGAGATGCGGTCTGGTGTGATGTAGGTTTCAGAAAAACATTTACTTTATCGTGCCAACGTTTCGATCTTTATTGAGATCATCTTCAGGGCCTGGGATTTACAAACATTTAACAAATACATGTAGGATATGGAAAAAAGTGAATTTATACAATGCAAAATATATTTTTTATATTCAATCAAAGTATTTCTACTCACTCAAAGTATTTGTCTTTTGTGTAATTGTGCCATTCTTGCGTGTCGTGTTGAGAGTGCCAGTTAGATTTTGCTGTTTTATATTTATATACGTTGGATTTTGAACGGGTGGGGAAGGAAGTCGGTATAGAAAGACATTTTTGTATAAGGAATCGGCGTCTTTAAGGTGAAAAGAGCCGACGAAGGGAAAAAACGTTGGTAATAGTTCGGCCAGATTATCCTTTCAAGATTATATACAAAGGGATAAATAGGAAAAGGAAAGTTAATATTGTTGGGAAATTAGACTCTGTGAAAAATATATTTTCCATTGTATAAATTCACTTTTCCACATCCAAAATGTAATTGTTATATGTAAACAATGTTTGTAAATCCCAGGCTCTGAAGATGATCTCAATAAAGATCGAAACTTTGGCACGATAAAGAAAATGTTTTTCTGAAACATACATCACATCACACCGCATCTCACGATTTTTAAATAAATAATTAATTATATTTAACCCATTAAATAATACTAAAACATGTGGTGATTAGTAACCGTTAGTCGATGATTATTCAGAAATCGTGAGATGCGGTCTGGTGTGATGTAGGTTTCAGAAAAAAATTTTCTTTATCGTGCCAACGTTTCGATCTTTTATTGAGATCATCTTCAGGGCCTGGGATTTACAAACATTGTTTACATTTACATGTAGTATGTGGAAAAAAGTTAATTTACTATTCAAACATATATTTTTTTTATATTCAATCAAAGTATTTCTACTCACTCAAAGTGTTTGTTTTCTGCGTAAATGTGCCATTCTTGCGGAAAATAAAGCTAAATTTTTGAAAAATTGGACTATTAAAAATGTTTGATGTGTGGAATGTGATGAATGTTTTATATGTTATATTATACGTTTTGTGTGGTGTGATGATATATGTGTTATCGATATTGAATTTCAGTAATGATATTGGCGTAGCTGCGACTGAGTTTACATTATCTGTTCTGTAATTGATGCTGTGTTTATCTCGGTTGATGTATCAAAACCGTGTGAAAACATATTTTAGTATTATATTCAGAAATCGTGAGATGCGGTCTAGGTTTCAGAAAAACAATTTCTTTATCGTGTCAACGTTTCGATCTTTATTGAGATCATCTTCAGGGGCTGGGATTTACAAACGTTGTTTAAATTTAACAAATACATGTAGGATGTGGAAAAAAGTGAATTTATACAATGCAAAAAAATATTTTTTATACAATTAATTAAGGGTTTTAGTTGAGATAAAAAGTCAATGGCACGAGCGGGATTCGAACCCACGATCTTCGGCTTGATACGCCGCTGCTCTAGCACTTGAGCTATTGTGACCTCGATCCACTCAGACACCAACTTCCCATCTCAACCGCACCTTTTGGATTTTCCCTCCTTTTTGCCATTTTGCCATGCGGACCACTAAATTAGTGAATTTAATGATTTAAAATGAAGTATACTTCACTAAAGCTCTCCGTGGCCATTTCATTTGTCGTCGAGAATCCAATCCGATTACACGACATTTGAAAAATACACTTTTTTATCTCAAGTAAAAACCTTAATTAATTGTATTATATTAATTGGTCAAGCGGACCACGAAATTAGTGAATTTAACATTTTTTATATTCAATCAAAGAAGAAGATATTTCTACTCACTCAAAATGCTAGTTTTCTGCGTACTTGTGCCATTCTTGTGTGTCGTGTTGAGAGTGCCAGTGAGATATTGCTGTTATATATGTTGGATTTTGAAGAGTGGGGAAGGAAGTCGATATAGAATGGTAACGAGGACAGTCATAGTGTCACTATTTGTGTCCACTTTCGGGAAATGTCTTCTAAAGGGAGCAGATTATCCACGTGAGGTGTAGATTTACATGCACATATTGAACGATTTTACGAGCTTTTATCATTTTTCTCTCTCCTAGTTTTCTAAGACTTAATTTATAAGCTAATTTCCTAACACTTGTTCTCATAACCATTTCATAAAAATCAAAAACTTCTTGCCATTCTTTTAAAATAAAACTTTGGTGGCTTTCAAACAACTGAAATCATGAAATGAGAAATGTATTGGAAGGAAATTAAGATTGAGTGATGAAGAATAGAACTTTTCTAATTCAAGAAACACTTCAATTCATTGTATCAGTAATTGTAAATATACTTAAAAGTCGTGATATAGTGGCTCTCATATAGTTGATGATATCAAAGAAAAATGAAAAAGTAGATTTTCCAAAATCAGTACATCTGAAACTGACCCTATACGAAGGTGTCACTAAACAGAGTAGGCCGTTTACGGAGATTTCCTTGTAATTAATATTTCCATGATTTAGTTCAGCGAATTGTAGCCAGATAAATCGTAGAATTCTGCCAATATTAAACAAGCAAAAAACTAAGAAATGAACATGAATAGAATGTAAATATAGTATGTTGTACATAAAAACATAAAAATTGTCCTTCTCATCTTACAATTACAATGCGAAATAAGTACTGTAGGAATCGAACTGGATATCACTTGAGTGTGAATTGACCACTCTTGATGTAACGCTTCCTTGAATTGAAATGAACGGTAAGTATTGATATATAAAGAATATCAAATGGGTCATGCCGCCTTGTTGGTATTCAACGAAGAGGCTTAACATTTATAAACATGAAACACTCGTTATAGAAAACAAGGTAACCTCTGAGTTTCTCAAATGCCAGAGTTAAAAATATATTTGTTAAATTGCTTATGGTATATTTGCCAAGCAAATAAACATAATAAAAAGATCAAAACCTTGTTTACTTTCATTATTTGAGAAATGGGAATGTTGTCAATGATGTTGACACATATTTTATATAATAGCCAAGCTCTTTATTTGGCGTTCATCAGGACTCTTGAACGATAAGAAAAGAAAATGCAATAGATGATTATTTATGACTCATATTCAAATTTATCTACTTTTTTTAATCTAAAATTTTCTAGCATTGTATAAATTCATAATTTTTTTTCCACTTCCTACATGTATTTGTAAAATTCAAACAATGTTTGTTTATAAATCACAGGCCCTGAAGATGATCTCAATAAAAATCGAAAGGTTGGCACGATAAAGAAAATGTTTTTCTAAAACCTACGTCATACCAGACCGCATCTCACGATCTCCGATTAATCATTTTATCTAATTACATCATATATTGTCTTAATTTAAATACTGACCATGAGGTTAATTAAGTTACCAATCATAAAAAGAAAACTATTAGCTTCTTTAACTTCTGTCGGTCTATATTTCAACAATTTTATTGCCTATTTTAGCAATGAAAATATTTTTAACTTTTGAAAAATGGTACCAATCTTGCCAGAATTCTAATGGAAAGAACATTTTCTTAGATTTGAACTAATGTCTAATATTAGAAATAAGGGTGTAAGACATTAGTTGGTAGTTAAGGTCCGTTCATGTTTATGAGTTAAAATGTGTAGTTTCTCTACGCGGTCTGTGGGACGAGGAACCTGAAAATGGATCCTTAAGCTTTTCTTCATTGCATCTTCTGTGTTAGTCCGAGGGATTTTGAAGAAATCAGGTCTGTTTGAAGTGGTGGTGAAGGTGCGCGTGTCGGCCTTATGTTTGTCGGGGCCTTCAGGGGATTAAATCTGGCAGCCTTCAGGGTCTTATTATACTTTTCTACTGTCTAGTTCAGTCAATCAACTCAATCGTTTTCGTAAGAAGTACTAGGTCATTGACTCTCATTGATACAATCCCTTTCCCTTAGTTTTCTTTGTGTCCCAGGTTATGTCTCCATTGAGCGTTTGCTTCGCATTCGAAGATGATCTAGCATTTTATCTCCTCATTGTGTAATCAACACATCATTGAATCCATGTTGTGTAGATCGTTTCTCAGAAGGCAGTGAACGATGCATAATCCCATCACTTCTCTGAGCTGATCTAACAGTACATTGAATTGTTCAGTATTGGTGAGCGTTAGTTTACCATAAGATTACCATAGCACCCCAAGAGTTTATCCTCTTCTCCTTTGGCTTTTTTGGTCAATTCTGTAATGTAGGATGTGTTTGTTTTTGTTATCCTACTGATACATCGATGAGTATCTAGCCATTTCAAATAATTAAGATTCTATTCGTATCCCGGTAACCTGGAGAGTTAGACAAAACAACAAAGTATGAAAATTTACGTGTTTCTAGGTTTATTCCTAAAAACGCTCAAGTAAAAAAAGAATATTGGGGTGGGAAGCAAACGTTAAACTCACCCTGTATGCCAATTTTGTCATGTGGGTTAGCTTTATCAATGGTTAGGGATGGTTAGTTCTAAATAGTTGTCCAATGTCTAAATAGTTGTCCGATTGTGTTCGTGGCCTTCAGTGTTGTTTTACTATTTAATTGGTTAAATAGATTCAATACATTACGTTTCTTATATGTAAATATGGTCCATTTATTCGGACGTATTCGCACAGTTTTTGATTAGTATTTGTCGTACAATGGTTCTATATAATAACGATTTGTCACGTCAAATGGCATTACTTTGTTGGTAAGTAGTTGCAATTTTCTTACCTTTGAATTTATTGAATCGGTTGATATATGTATTTATTATAAATAATTATTTGGTACTAAAAGACAGCAAAACGATTTCTAACGAATTGGATAGCATTTTTAATGACTGTGAAACATAATAATAAGTTTTAATTAAAAAACACAGACATGTAATAAACCGGAGTTAAAAAAAT